GCACCAGAAAGGCTCCAAGAAGGCCCCGAGAAGGCCCCAGGGCGGCACCAAGAGGGCTCCCAGAGGGACCCAAGAGAGGCCCCAAGAAGGGCCCAAGAGGGCCCTCCGCGGTGTCACTTTCAACGCCCGTGAAAATGACACCTCCCAGGGCCCACTTAGGGCCTCAGAAAAGCTCTAAGAAGGCCCCGAAAGGGCCATAGAGAGCCGCCCTGGGTTCAACTCCGCGTGGCGGAGTTGGAAGCGATAACTTCAATACCCTACTGGAGGCCTCTTAGGGGCCCTAAGACGGCACTGAAGAACCCCATCGGGGCTTTTTCAAAGGCAGAGGAGGGCGCAAAAAGGGGCCTCAGTGAGCCCCTGGTCTAACTCCACCTGGCGGAATTGGAAGCGATATCGCCCGGCGCCTTCATGGAGCCGCTCGGAGCTTCCAAGACGGCTCCAGAAGGCCCCAGGAGGGCCCCAAGAGGATCGAACGACGATTCCTGGAAGTGCACCAGTGAGACCCTTGTTGACCTCCGCCTGGCGGAGTTGGAAGCGACAATTTCCAGTGCCCTCTTGGGGCCTCTGGGGGGCCCCTCAGAAAGCTTTGGGGAGCACAGTGAAGGCCTTCGCAGGGCCGCGTGAGAGCCGTACCAGGGCCGCATGTGTGCGCGGATGGGGGCGACGAGTGCTGACGCTGACGAATATGAGAATGATGAGGGCGATCAAGGCTGGCCCGAAACAAATCCTGGCGCCATTGCAGGCCGCCGATTATCGGCCACGCCGCCAGGACGACGCCAAGCAACAAAACGACACCAACCAACAAACCGACACCAACCAACAAACCAACAAATCGACACCGGCCAACAAAAGGACACCAAGCAACAAAACGACACCAAGCAACAAAACGACACCAACCAACGAAACGACACCAACCAACAAAACGGCACGAATCAACAAAACGGCACTGACCAACCAAACGACAAATCACTTCACGACACCAATGAACAACGCGAAATCCACCGACCGCCAACCAAGCATAAAATCAACCGACACAACGAAACCAACCCATAGAGCCAGACCAACCACTGGATTCGTGAGTCGGGGTAGTCATGGAAGTGAGCCGCTGCAGCCCGCGGAAGCCATTAACAGTGACCAGAGCACCGCAATGCAGCAACGTCCCCGGGCGGCGGCGGGAGTCTTGGATCTCCCGCGGGACTGGAGCGTAGCGAGTTCGTCCTGGGTCCGGTTTAGTGAAGTGAAGAATTTCGGGGTGCTTGCATGGCAAAAACCTTCACTTCACTAATCTGGGGCCCCTGGAGCCCCAGGGCGTTTCAGATCCCCTCGCTGTCTGGGTAGTCCAGGGGGCGCAGTGGCGGCTTACCAGAGGCCCTGTTCCCTAGCGTCACTTGCTTTCACCCGTGGTGCTCGACGGCCGTCTCGGAGCTGTCTTGTGGCGGTCTGGGGCAATCCCGAAGCCTCTTGGAGCCATCCCAAGGCCCCAAGGCGCCACCAATGGGGGCCCCAAGAGAGCTCCCAGAGGGCCCCGAAAGGCCTACAACAGATTGCACGTTCGCGCGAATTTTTTGTACCATTTTGGGGGGTCCCTCTTGGGGCCCTCGGGGAACGTTCTTGGGGCCCTCCGAGGGCCCACTGGGGCCCCGGGAAGGCCCCAAGAACGCTCCCAGAGGGCCCCAAGAATGCTCCAAGAGGGCCCCAAGAGGACCCCCACAAGTGACAAAAACTATTTGCATGAGGGTGCAACTTGCTCGGCGCCTCTTGGGGCGCTCTTGGAGCCGTGCTGGGCGCCACTCGTGGACGACATGGGCTGGGCGACGGCATGTGGACCCTGTCGCTTGGGCCATCGGGGGTGCTCCCCAATGGGGCCACGAAGCTTGTGAGCGTATGACGGAATGGGCTGGGCGGCGGCCTGTGGGCCCTGCCTGTGGGGCCGTCGGTGTAGCTCCCCGTGGGGCCACGAAGCTTGTGAAACGTATGCCGAAATTTGCTGGGCGGCGGCCTGGGAAACCTGCCGCTGGGACATTTGTTTCGTGGAGCTGCCTATAGGGGCACGAAATGTTTGAGGGTGTCATCAATGTGGCCTGGGCGACGGCATGTGGACCTTGCCGCCGGGACCTCCGATGAGCTCCTCATGGGGGCACGGAGCGTCTGAGGGGCGTGCCGACATGGGCTGGGCGGCGCACTAAGGACCCTGCCGATGGGGCCTTCGGTGGAGCACCTCACAAGGCCACGAGACTTGCGGGGGATGTGGCGAAGCGGACACGCGGGGGAACAAGGGGGGTGTTTTGATGATGTTGATGAGGATGGTGGTGGTATTGATGATGGAGACGGCGAGAATGCTGATGATGCTGATGATGATGGTGATGGCGACGATGACGATGGACGATGACGACGGAAACACGCGGAGAGCAGGGGCAGATACGCGAAGAGGGAGGACGAGGGAGGGGGCCGGAAGGAATGACGCGGGGCGGTGTCTCTTCAAAACGAAGAACCAACACTGCAATATGGTAGGAAATTTCTGGACGACCCCCCCCCGTGGCGCGGTCAATGTCCGCGACAGCATCGCTGGCACTACGAACGAAATGATCGAACTCTTCCTGCGACGTTACCCGCGGGGTGGATCAGCCAGGGATGGGGGTCGAAACCGCCCCAGCGCAAAGCAAATGTACAATCCTGAGAAACCCCAGCCCACATCAACCGATCCGCAACAAGCACGCAAGCCTTTGACGACCCCAACGCACGTGACATCGCATAACGCGACACGCCATCGAAAACGTTCGACGCGCGGCCTCGGAATGACATCGGGCTTCATGGAACGTCGAATGGAAAACATGAAAAACCGCCCTGTGGGCTCCGAGACCCAAAATTACTGATGTGAAGGATTTCGGCTCGTCGATCATTCGCTGGCCCACCTCATCCGGCCTCCCGGACCAGCCTCGCAGAGGGTGCCAGGACGCACCCATGTGGCCCCGAGAACGCCCAAAGCCAGCCCCTCAAGAGCGCACCAAAACAGTTCCAAGTCGTAAGCCTTACCATGTACCCCTTGGTGCTTATGAACATCATCATCACTCCTCGGTTTCCTCTGGGAATCCCTCTCCTACTTCATCCGGCTACTGCCGAAAGCCAGGTTCTTTTCGAAAGCATTGTCCTAAATCCCATGGGCCCTGTCAAAAGTCTGATCCAAAGTCCCTGGGTTGGCTTCTCTGGTAGGCCCTAGGTACTGCCGAAAACCTCACACGTCATGTGAGTCCTTTGCATGAATCCTCGGGCACCCCCGAGAGGCATCCTCCTACGTCCTCCAGCCCCTGCCGAAAACATCATCCTAGGTTGTACAAGTCCCTGTCGACAATATTATTTTCAGCTCTCCAGGTCCTCTCACGACCCTCATCATAAATCTTGGGCTGCTCTGGGAGGCCTTCTCCTCCTACGTCCTCCCGCCCCTGTCGGAAACCGCATCCTGCGTCTGTGAAAGCCTGCCGAATCAGCCCAAATCTCCTAGGTCCCCTACAAGAGCCATGGGAACTTGTTAGGCTCCACTTGGAGGCCGTCGCCTACGTCCCCCAGGCCTTGTCGAAAACCTCCTCCTAAGTCCTTGAGGCCCTGTCGAAAACATTAGCGTGAATCCTCCAGGTCCTCTCAATCACCATATGATAAATTATTGGCATCCTCTGACACGCCTTCTCCTTCAGAGGAACATGTGGTCATGTTTGCATGCTTTGCTTTCTGAACGCCCGATGTTAGTTCATGTCTCACATGTATCGCGCACGACTCGCCCTCGCGCGAATCAGCTGTGCATACATATCAATATGTACCTCGACAAGACTCCTATGACATTGGATGGCATCTATACGCCGCTGCCACAATGTACCTTCCAAGCGCCGGTACGCCCCCGTGTGCCCTCAGAGCGTTCCGAAATGCAATCTCCATGACATCGCTCCTACGGAACTTGATAATGAGCCGTGCGCGGGCGCCAAGCGGCGCGCACAAGGGAGTAGGGGAAGGGGGGATGGCTTCTCAGAAGGAGGCTGCTTCTGAGAAGACGCTGGCTTCACATCTACTGACAAGGCCCGCGCCTTCCAGACGAGAAATCTCAGATCCGCCTCAGACCAACAATGAAAGGACGGCCTTTTGTACAGACCCCCTGGAACCTCCAAGACAGCTCCAAGCACCCCCCAAAAAAATCAGACCGCTCCCTTTTCAGTGTGAAATCTAGAGTAGATTAGTGTTCTTCTTTGTTGGTGTGTGTCGAGTGCGGGCGAGGTGATAAAGCGTATCAGTGGCGCCAGGAGGGCCAGGGGAGCTGAGGAAGGAACGACGACTGATCCCCGGAGCGGCCCAAGAGCGCCCCCCAGACGGCCCAAGTGCTGCCCAAGGCGGACCAAGAGGCCCCAAGACGGGCCCAAGAGGGGCTCAAGAAGGGAACCGAGAACTGAAAAATCGAGCCCTCCGCCCCAGAAGGCGCCCAGGACCCCGAAAGAGGCCCCAAGAGACTCTCCAAGACACCCCCAAGACGCCCCAATAAGCTCCCGTGAGGCCCCAAGAGGACCAACAACGTCAGGCCCCAGGCCCCAAGAGGACCAACAAATACCGCCAAGAGCCCGCCGAAAGCCCCCCAAGAGACCGTCACGAGAGCTCAGGAGGCCCCCTGGAGGCCTCCCGAGTTCTCCAAGAGGCCTAAAAAGAGGCGCCAAGAGGCCCCAAACGGCCCCACCGAGGCTCCAAGAGGCCACGAACGCGCAAGCAAACGCCTGCGATGGCACAATACGGGCCGGCGGAATGAGCGAAGCGATTATAATAAATACACACAAATAACATAATCCCCAATATTTTCTTATATTTCCTGGGTCTCTGTCTTCCCCCCCACTTCCCATATTTTCCCATCTTTTCTGGGAAATCAAAGATTAATTGTGTCTGTGTGTTTTTCCTCTCCTGACGCTCCTTCGACCTCTTCCCCGACGCGGCCACCGCTCCGAGAGGGCAAGGGCGGCCGCGGGGCTCGCCGGGCTCGTGGAGCCGCCGCCGCCGTCCTCCGGGACGCCGTAGCCGAGCTCCTTAAGGGGCGGGAGCCGCGTGGCCACGCGGGGAGCCCTCCCACAAGACGAATTCGCCAGGGCGAGGACAGAATTCGGGTGGGGCCAAACTGAGAATCTCTGAGATCGGGCGGCCTTCTCAGAGTGTCCAGATACAGTGGGGGCGTTGACCTAAGGAACCCAAAATAAGGAACGAGGCCCCTTTTTTCCATGAGTTAACCTTCGATTTCTTGCCGAAAACATACGGAAAGCCTGAGGCAAGCTGTGAAACACTTAAGGAACGCGGAGCCCCTCCCCAACGAAAAGGGTTCCTTCTTCAGGGCCCCGACTGTATCGAGAATCTCTGACATCGGGCGGCCTTCTCAGAGTGTCCAGATACCTCGGAGAACGTTCCGCAGCGTTCTGGGGCGGATCTATCCTCGTCCGGGAGCGTCCGAGAGCGACTCGGGATGAGAAGACGGCCCCAGGAAAGGGGTTGGGGCTTCTGGGGATGGCGCCTTGGACAAGCCAAGGCGTCAAATGCCTGGGCCCCCCCTCCCCGTCCTCCTCGCGTCCGTCTCCGCTTCTGGGGACACCAAAAGGTACCGATACTGCTACTCCCCGGACCTCTCTCAAGCTACGCTCTGACCAGAACTTCGAGGCGAATCCAGCCGGCGGCGACGAGGGCCTCCCAGGAGGCACACGAAGGCGAAAACGAGGGAAGCGCAGCGGCACGGATGCCGTTCCCTCCTCTGAGCTTCCCTCCACCGCGTGGGGGGGGGGGGGGCGAGGCTGCGTCCCCCACCCACCTCAGGCGGGAGACAGGAGAGGGCGGCCCGCGGAAGAAGAGACAAACCGGGGCGGTGCACGCGGAGAGCGCACCTCTCGAAGCCCGTGCGCCACGGGGGGCCCAGAGGTTGGTCGGGGGGGTCCACCGACCACGGCCTCCCGTTGCTGCGCCTCGCCCCCCCCCCGACCGTGCACCTCGTCCTGTTCCTGCTGCTGCACTTCCGGCAGGAGGACAGGGAGCATCATCGGGAAAAGGAGCAGCATCAGCGATGAGAATTTGAAACCAAGGAATGGGGATCAGCAGCATGAGGAGGACTAGCAGCAGCAGGGCAGTCGCGAGGGGACTGATGATGATGACGACGACGACGTTGGCGACGATGACGATGACGATGACGATGACGATGATGATGACGGTGATGATGATAATGATGCTGATGATGCTGATGATGATGATGATGGTGGTCATGATGATGATGATGATGATGATGATGATGATGATGATGATGATGATGATAAAGATGATGATGATGATTATGACGATGATGATGATGATGATGACGATGATGATGATGATGATGATGATGATGACGATGATGATGATGATGATGATGATGATGATGATGATGACGATGATGATGGTGGTGCTGGTGATGGTTGGTGCTGGTGATAGTGATGATGATGAAAAGGAGGAGCATCAGCATCAGCTATCCGATGCAAAAGCTGTGGATTCTGCTCAGGAGCAGCAGCAAAATTCGCCGGCCCAACGGGCCAGAGGCGTGCTAAGGTCTCCGGTAACTGGTTAACAGTATCTCTAGTTCGCGCGCGCGGGGCGGCCCCTGGGGGTCCCCGGACGAAAAGTACCCCGACCGACCCCCGGGCGATCCCCGGGAGACTCCCCCAGAGCGCTCCAGGAGCGCTCCAGGAGCGCACCAACAGGGCTCCGAGACGTCCCCGAAACCCTCAAGACGGGTCCAGATGCCCCCAAGAGGCTCCCAAGATGGTACACAAGGGTTCCGAGATGCCACATGATCGCTCCAAGACGCCCAAGATGGCCCCCAGACGCCCCAAGAGGCCTCCAAGAGCACTCCCAAAAGGGCCCCCGGAGGCAAAATTCATTGCTTTTCCTTAGGTTTTTGAAGATTTTGGAGCTTCCACCTTTTCGGCTTCCCGACGCCCCAAGACGGCCCAAGAGGCCCCCAAGATCGCCCCAAGAGGGCCCAAGAGGCCCCCAAGAGGGCCCCAAGATGGCCCAAGAGGGCTCGAAGACGGCCCAAGAAGCCTCCAAGACGGTCCAAGAGGGCCCCAAGAACGCCCCCAAAGGGGCCCCAGAGAGGGAACACGAAACAACATTTCGAGCCCTCGGCCCTAAGAAGCCCCTACGAGGCCCCAAGAGGCCCCTAAGAGGCCCCAAGAGGCCCCCACGAGGCCCTCAGGAGGCCCCCAAGAGTCCCCCAAGCGGCCCCAGGAGGCCCCCCAAATGCCCCCCCGAGCGCCCCAGGAGTCCCCCAAGCGGCCCCAGGAACCCCCAAAGCGCCGCATTGACACCAGGCCCTCGGGCAAACGGCAGACATGAGACTGTATGGGCCGGCGGAATGAGCGAAGCGATTAAATAATGAGGAGCAGAAGGAGCAGCAACATCAGGAGAAGGGGGAGGGGGGATGATGAGGACCAGGAGGAGCACAATATATCTGCAACAAACAACTTCCCTTACTGAAAGATAGACCGAACTAAAACCAAACGTATTGCGCAGGAAAACATGATCGACCCACGAACCCGGAAAGGAATATAGAAATGTAAGGCATTGCAACATTTCAAAGACACCTGATTGGGCGACGGGCACATGCAATGCTGAATGCATCGATGATGATGTACTGTGCCGAGGGCTGTGCTGTGCTGCGCCGTGCTGAACTGCGATGTGCCATGCCGCGATTGTGCTCTATATAGCGTTGTGGATCGAGTCCTCCCTGGCATCCGAGTCCTCACCGAACTGATCTGGAGCGTAAGCTCGAGCTGCCTGAGCAGATGGTAGCTGCCCCAGAACTAATCGACAGAGGGAACATGCCAAGAGGACGCGCCGCGGAACGTCCCAAGGGACGCGCCAGGCGACGTGCCAGGGGACGTGCCATGGGCACGCACCGCGGGACGTGCCAAGGGGACGCGCTACGGAACGTGCCAATGGACGTGCCGAGGGACGTGCCAGGGGACGCGCCGCGCGACGTGCCAGGTGGACTCGCCACGGAACGCGCCAAGGAACGTGCCAAGGTGCATAGTTGAGTGTATCGATCTTGATGTACCGTGCCGACGGCTGTGCTGTGCTGGGCCGTGCTGAACTGCGATGTGCCATGCCGCGATTGTGCTCTATATAGCGTTGTGGATCGAGTCATCCCTGGCATCCGAGTCATCACCGAACTGATCTGGATCGTAAACTCGAGCTGGCTGAGCAGATGGTAGCTGGCCCAAAACTAATCGACGGAGGGGACATGCCAGGAGGACGCGCCGCGGAACGTCCCAAGGGACGCGCCAGGCGACGTGCCAGGGGACGTGCCATGGGCACGCACCGCGGGACGTGCCAAGGGGACGCGCTACGGAACGTGCCAATGGACGTGCACTGCGCGACGTGCCAGGGGGACTCGCCACGGGACGCTCCGCGGAACGTGCCAGGCAACATGCCAGGCTGCAATGCTAAGGGTATCGATATTGATGCTCTGTGCCGAGGGCTGTGCTGTGCCTGGGCGACCTGGACACGTGAAAACACGCGTTTCGCTCAAGACGTTCTCAGCACATCGTCATGCTAGACATCCGCCTGGGCAACCTGGACACGTGCAAACAAGCGTCTCGCTCGAGGCATCCTCAACAAATGCTCATGCTAGACATCCGCCTGGGCGACCTGGACACTTGAAAACAAGCCTCTGATTCGAGACATCCTCAACAAATCCTCATGCTAGACATCTGTCTGGGCCACCTGGAGGCGTAAAACCAAGCGTCTCGCTCGAGACATCCTCAAGACCTGGGCACGTGAAAACAAGTAATCCACTTGAGAGATCCTCAGAATTCAGGTCACCAGGAGAGGACCATATATAACACAAAACAAGCGTTTCGCTCGAGGCATCCTCAACAAATTCTGAAAACTAAGCGTTTCGCTCGAGACATCCTCAAAGTTTAATTCGCCGGCCCTACGCGACCTCGTTATTTATCGCAAAAGAAATTCGCCGGCCCTACAGCCGTCAAAACCGGGGGGAAACCAACTAAAAGAGAACCCTGGGCTCAGGCCCTTTCCGGGAAAAGAGCCAGATAAGGAGGACGACAACGAGAACGAGGAAGGCTCGAATGCCGCCTGAATGACGTCTGAAAGAAATCCAGGGCTGACACTCCAGAGCCATTGAAACGAACCATTGCACACACTAACAAGAGCAACTCTATCCAAGCGAATGCGTTTAGCACAAGAAACACCCCCTTTCAGAACTCGTGGAATCCGCGTGGGGCTCGTCGGCCAGAAGTTCAAGAAGCTCGGAAAAGACACCGAACACCAAACCAACACATTAGAAAACAACGCATCCCGGTGATAGCCCGAGAAGAAAAGAAACAACTCCTTCCCGTCATCAGCATCCTGCTCCTCATGATTCATATTAGCCTGGCACTCGCCCGAACATGCCAGTGAAACTCCCAAACAGACACGCCACAGCAAGAACGCAACAGCGCAACGACCAAACAGCACAAACACACGCACACACACACACACACGAGCACACACACGCACGCACGCACGCACGCACGCACGCACACAAACACACACACACACTCGCACGCACACACACACACACACACACACTCGCACGCACACACACACACACACAAACACACACACACACACAAACACACACACACACAAACACACACTTTTTTCAACACAACAAGGCAGCACGAACAGCGCAGGGGCCAAAACACCACCCTTGAGCAACTCTCGGTGCCACTGCTACTGCTCGCTTCCCCTCCGCCCACCTCGCCTGCCCTGCTCCTCCTCGCTCGTTCCTTCTTCACCCTCGGCCTCCCCGCTCCTCCTCCTCCTCCTCCTCCTCCTCCATCCTCCTCGATCCTCCTCCTCTATCCTCCCCTCCTCCTCCTCCTCCTCATCCTCCTCTCTCCTCCTCCTCCTCCTCCTCCTCCTCCATCCTGCTCCTCCGCCCTGCTCCTCCCCCCTGATCCTTCCCCCTTCCTCCACCTCTTCTCTGATCTCTTTCCTCCTGCGAACAACA